GCCGGGCTCCTCCCCCGCCGGGGAACGGAGTCGCCCCGGCGCTGCGCCGCCCGAGCGCGGAGCCGGCGGTGGGTGTGCGGTGAGAGGCGGCCGCGGCCGAAGCGGTGGGGCGGCGAGGGAGGCGTCTCCCGCCGCGGTGAGCTCCGGCGGGGTGCGCGGAGGAAGCCTGGCTTGGGTGCGGGGGAAGGTGAAGTTTCTTGGTGGGCTCGCCGAGGGCTGGGCGTCTGCCTGGGGAGCTGCAGGTGCCGGCGGTGTGACACCGCGCCGGCGGGCGGGAGGCTGAGCCCCAGCCGCCCCGCCGGCGTGAGCCTCCGGGCCGCTCTCACGGGCTCTGCTCGGGCCGGTTCTCGCAGGACCCCGTTTCTAGAAGCGTTCTGGATCGCTTCTGGTTTTGTTTACGTTTCCACTTCTTACCGTAGTGGTGTGTTTTGCCAAGCCTTTGAACTAATCTTTGCTCACGTGGGAGAGGTAAGGCAGCCCTGTATGGATTTAATTTTTAAATACAAACGAACAAACAAAGCCCCCCACGTATGTGCACAAGCTTTTCTTGGCCTGAAAGGAACATAGTATAAGGGAGCCAGAAGTACCGGCTCTCTAGAACAATACCGTGAATAACCTTTTACGGGTTTGGTTGTTCTCCATGTCAGGCTTCGAGGGTCGTCATTCTTTACGTGGACTAGGTTTTGGCCTCCTATCATTGGAATTTCAATATCTCTTCTAATCTCATTCACATCTTGGAGGGAAGATAAATTGATAGGAGTCTCACCGTTGCAGTACATCAAAGCTGTTGAGATCTGTGAAGTTTTGACATGTCGTAAGCAGCCCAGGTCTGATACTGTTGCGTTTAAAGAATGCACATGGGCTCAAGTTCAGTATAAAGCTGGCGGAATAAAGGCATACTTCATGCCTCTGCTTGACTCCCTGTGAAATTCAAATAGTTTACAAGTTATAAATTTCACATTACCATAAAGCAGCAGTTTGTTTTGTTTTGTTTTTTTTTCCCCTGAGCCTGGCCCTCAGCTTCCAAACTACAGAAATTGTGTTTGAATTTTCACAGGAAGATTGTGACCCTTTTGCACCTTTGAGGTATATAACATTTTATTGCCTTTTGGGGTTGCTACTGTTAAAATAATGACTTAATTTCTCTGTATCCCACCTTATGTCAGCAATTTTCTTCTTTTCCCTCCAAAAGTAATTAGAAGCAAATGAAAAATCCCAGTCATTCTGCAAGGTAGAAATCACAACTTCAAGTTTGAAAATAATGCAGAGTTCTTGGTAACAGAGTTTCAAATCTTCTTCTTTCACATACAGTTTCCAGTCTTCCCCAAAACACGTGTACAAGGGATTACGCAGTCAGTGTGCAGGTGAAACGTACTACTTAAAGTATTTTGGTAACCAGGTTTGCTTAGCACTCAGATTAAATTGGAGAGGAAACCTGGTCTCAACTTCCACACTTCCCTACGTTTATTGTGTTGAGCAGTGGAACTGTTCAGTGCAATGAAGTTAAACTGATCTATGTGCTTTAGAATTGCATGTTGTGGACTTCTTGCATTTCTGTCTCTGCTGATTATCTTATTTGTATGGACACTTGTGAGCAGAGGAGTAGAAGTTTGTTTAAAAAAAATCAGCTTGTAGGGCTTTCGTGTTGATTTATCTTGTGCTTATTTTTTAGGCTTCTAGTTTTGTATATGGAAAACTTGTCTTTTGTTTCCAAAACTTTACAGAAGTTCAAAGGCATTATTTTTCAAAAGGTAAAAATTGCTCTTTCTAATCAATGAGGACATGCTGTTTTTTAAGAAATTATTGCAGACACCTCTTTTTCAACCCTAGAAATCTGCTAGTGATTTCACATGCAAATATTAGTTAAATGTATCAAATGATCAGTTCATACAAAAGGTAAAGAGTAGAAATTACTATTGTTTTTACCCCAAGGAAATGTCAGTTCCTAATTTCTGAGACTGTCTTTTCTGTGATCTGTAGGTGACTAATGTGGCATTGCTTTGAATGTATTATTTGACTGAAATGATTTTTAATCTTGAAGGAGGGGGGTAAGAGCTACATCTACAAAAGGATCTCTGCCTCCAGCTTGTTCACTGGCCTGTGTTGGTTTTGGCAGATGAGTTTTGAAAGAAGGATGTTTTTTTAATTAATCCTCTATTTTCAGGAGACTGGCTGTGATCCCCAGACTAAGTGAAGTGTCTTCTTGTTCCCAGATTTAAGAGTATGTCAGACTCACATCCTCTGTGCTCTTTACTGGTTTGTACAGCCAGGTCTTCTAGAGCCTGTGGATTCCATATGTGGAGACCTGGCTCTTCCTGTGCACTACACTGAGCACCCAGGGGCTGTTCCATAATCCTTTAAGCAGAAAAGAGCTTAAAAGGCTAAAGAGAATCCATTGCTCTAATCTTAAAACTTAAGGAAGAACTCGGATTTTTAGTGGGGGTCTCATTGGGCAGGAGTTTTGCATTCACATATGGGACTGGATTGGAAGGAACTGATCTGACTGGAAAACCTGATACTCTGCTCTTTCCTTACCCTCTCCCTCCAGTTCCCTACATTGTTCCCTCCATTTCACTTCATTACACAGCCACAGAAGAATGATATTGCCAGAACAGACAGGATGGTATGGAGGAGGGATGATGCAGAGGGAAGCTGGAGGATGCTCGAACCAGATAACTCTGAATGTTTTAAATTTTACAAATACTTAGCCCAGAGGAGTGTCCAGTTGCTAATCTTCTTTTAATCCACTTGTAAACACAAGGACTGTGAAGTTCATATCATATCAGTACTTCAAAATTTGGGAAAAAGTCATGGGAGAAATATGTATGTATTTTAATTTATTGCTCCCTGAAGAGTGCCCATGCTTGAGTAGATAATACGTTTTGCTTCCTGAAAGGCTACTTGCATGTGCTCTTGAGTGTAAGACTGCCACTTACTTGCTGTTTTGTTAATAACTATGCAGAGAGCTGAAAATACTAATTTCAATTACTCAAAATCAGTGATCTTGACATATGTTGTGGTTGTAAAACTGAAATGCCTGTTTTGGCCAATTTTACACCAGAAACCTTCCAAAGAGTCAAAATGAGATAAAAACTAAGCTTTCTGAAATGTAGGAAAAATTGTAAAGATAGCAAAGTAGTTTAAGAAGGAGGGCTCACTATCAATCACTTTTGACAGTCCTGTAGGACGTTTCCTTGTAATTGTTCTAACTAAAATAAACATTTGTGTAAAATACTTCTAAAGTTTCTCATTAACTGTGGTGAGATTTGAACTCGACATTGATGTGTATCTCTAAGTAGCATCTGTTCAGTGGATCACATTTGTGTGGGTTTATCACTTCAGTTGATTCTTTCAGTTCAGCGGTTCACCTTTTTTTAAAGCAACAATTCAGGCACCTTAATCCTCTGTTAGCATGCTAAATCACCTTGTGATAGTAACACTATCAAGAGTGCTAAAGAGTTTTGGATATTTCATCTAATTCTGTTCAAAGTGTATAGTTTTATCAAAGTTGAGATTTGATCTGCTTTAAAAGAGAGGAAGCAAATTTTTCTCGCATTTTTATCTAAAAATAAAAGATTTTAAAAGGAGAGCAGCTGCCGTTGCTAAATTTTGGAAAGAGTGAGGGCCAGAAGTCTATTTTGTTGTAGTTTCTAGTGGATTATACCTGGTGACTTAATTAGTCTTAGATGCAGAGCATGTCTTAATGCAGCTATTTCCTATGCATTTAGCAAGTTTTCAGACTCTAGTAGTGTTAAGCAGTGAAAGAGCATTTGTTGTTCTTAATTGAATTTTAATTTCTGTCTAAAAGCAGTCTGGCATAAATTATGAATAAAAATAATTTATGTGGTAAATAACATGTAATTTGATTTACAACCTATTAGAGTTGATTTTTGTATATTATTATTACATTGAATGAAGTATACCAGGCTGTTCCATAAGTTAGACCATTTCAACACTCACTTCTGTGGTGAATATCATGTAACTTAGGCAAGTCTGATGTGAAAATTATTGAAGCACCAAAGCATGGATGCTGTAGCTTATTTTTCAGCTGAGTCGTCATATCTTGATATTTGTAGTCGTTTCATAGTACCACCTTGCTGAATCTTGACAGACATAGTGGCAGTGGAGTGCAACTGGAGTAGCAATATGTGCTTTCTTTACTTACAGTCGTGAATAAATCTATTATAATATTATTTTTATTCTAGATAAGGCAACTTGTTTTGGCATTAGACTGGTAACATGAGTTTATTTTTCCTAATTTGAAAAGCAGCATTTGGGTTCTAATAGCATAGGAGGTATACAGTTATATATAGGAGGTATAATAGTCTAGTGATCCAACACAAGACTAATATTTTTTTGTTTGGTGTTTTTTTTGTTTGTTTGTTTTTTGATGTAGGGATAATGATGAGACAGCAAAAGATGAGAAAGCACTTGTGAAAGAGAAGTACGTTGCAAAACCGAAGGCAATCCCTTCTCTTGGAAACAAGAATAGATTCCACCCCTATTCAAAGGACAAGAATGCAGGCACTGGAGAGAAGAAGGCTATTAATCGTAATAGAGTTTTTATTAGCAACATCCCGTATGACATGAAGTGGCAAGCTATTAAAGATCTTATGAGAGAGAAAGGTAACTTATTCCTTATAATACACTCCACATAGAAAGGGGTAGAACTTAAATGCAATGTATATGTCCTTTGAGCCACACAGATTTGATTTGACTTCTTTTTGGTTTTTTTGGCCTTTACTTGGTACATCTATCTCCCTTCCCCCTCTTTCATCTGAGACAATTGCATTGCAGGGTAGGATGGGTAAATGAAGTGCTTACAATCTTCTGCCATTCTAGTGTGACAGTAGAGAGTATATGCATGACCTCATGACTTCTTAAAGAGATTGTGTTTTGTCTAGTTGTAGTCTTTGTAGTTTTTTTTTTAAGGGCTATTGTATTTAAGCAACACATTTAGTGTGTTAACATGAATAATAAAGGACGTCTTTCAAAAGTTGTTTTGTATTTCTTTGGTGGAATCTGGCTGTGGAATTAACTTTGTCTGCATTGTCACTACTGCCATGACTGTTTGTCTGGAGATTTGTATTAAAAGCTTGTTACTATTGTTGCAGTTCTGATAGAGTAATCTTACTACCCCAAATGTTTTATTTTAAGTTTGGGGTAAAATAATGCTAATACATGAATTCTGTAAAAAGTTAGTTTTGTGTTTTCCTTGAAAAAAATTGATTCTTCAAAAGTAATGCAAAGCACACTTGGCTTTTAGGCTGTGAAAAATGCCAACCCCCCCCCTTCTGTAACTGCTGGTTTATCTGTTGTAAGGTGACGTGACTATTTGATTGGTTTATTTACTGAAACTTCCTACTTTAGAAAGTGAGTGGCTTGCTGTGAAATATTTGATGTGTAAATTTGGTTATTATTGAAGGCAAACTTATGATTGAAGACATTCAGGTAGAAAGTCACCTTAAAACAGGTGTTGTGAGTAGGATGATAAATGTAACACTTTCCAGTGAACGTTGACGTTTCATTTGTCAGGTTAAGGGACTGTGTATATCTGAATTTGTTCACCAACTATATCATACTGGCCAAAATATGATCTGTAGTATGAATTAGGTTAAATATAGTTGTTTGTTTTTAGCTTTTGAGAATGTTGCTGCTGCATATTTCTGAAAACTAGCTAAATTATATAGCCTTTGACAGGAGGTACGCTGGTCTGGTTTTGATTGTTGGTGAATAATAGGTGCTTCTCTGTAGAGTTGTGCACAGGGGCACAGTAAAGAAAGATACTGGTGTTTAAATGCATTGTCTCTTGGTATTTTCCCTTTGTATGTCTTATGTAGTTGGTGAGGTTACATACGTGGAGCTGTTTAAGGATGCTGAAGGAAAATCAAGGGTAAGTGCCGTGGGCAACAATCTGCTAGAGGTTTAAAAGTTCCTCAGCAGTTTTATTTTTGTATAATACCTGTACCAGTTATTGGAAAGTAAGTTTCATTTTTACACTGATTTTCATTAAGATAGCCTTGAGGATTTTGTATTAGAAGTAGTCTGACCCTTTCATGCAACTCAAACTAGCTGGCTGTAAAGGACAAAATACTTCTGTAAACGTTAACAAGTGGCATTTACTTAATTCTTCTTTTTAGCCAACATCTTTGTTTTGGTACAAATCTGTTTCATATAAAGGACGTTCAATAAACCACTGATTTTATTTAAATTTTGTTAGCATAGTATTCTCTGCTTAGGGCAAATGAGTATAAAACGTTAGTTAAGAATATACTGTTTGAATTGCCTGATTTGACAGCTTTGCAGGGTTGGTACTCTAAACACTGGATTAATGTATTTGCTTTCTTAAAACTAAATGGATGGATATGGTTGGTAGCCAACAGAGTGCCAGCAATGAGGCACTAAGAGGGAAGATTGTTAAAGCTCCTTTGTCTTCTTAAAAGTAGTCAAAAGTTTGGCCAATAGTAGCTCTGAACCTGCAGTGAGAACATGAGAAATGCAGGTTTGAGTCTTAACTGAGGTTGTATTAATTGTTGTAAATTACTTTCTTTAATGCTTGTTAAAACTAAAACATGCTGTTAGCTTTGCTTTACTTAAAGCAATCCTCAACTCTTTGCTTTATTAGAAGGATTCTGGTGCAGTCAATAAGGTTATTTTCTTACAAAGTAATTTCTCAATTATGCTAGTAATACTGAAGAGGTATGTAGACTCCTTGTTCATTGTACTGGTATACTTGATGTAGGTAGATTTGAATTTTGTAGTCAGTGGGCAGCTTTTAATGACACAATGAGTGTCTTGATTGGTTTTTGGTTTTTTTTTTTTTTTTTTTTTTTTTTTTCCCCCCTTTCCGCCCCACCTCCTCTCCCCAGTTGTCCTTACATGGATCTGTGTGGCATTTTTCTAATTCTGGTTTGGCTCAAAGAGAATAAAAGATAATATATTCTCTTGCATTTGAAAGGTATGTATGTGGAGAAAGTAGGAGAAATTCAGCTTGCCTACCAGTAAAGAGCATGTATTATGGATTTTGAAGCTGAAAATAACTTGAATAGTTATTTAACAGTGAGCTGGGATCTTTAACTGGAATCTTAAATGCTCTATCATATGTGCTGATTGACTTTTTTTTTATTTTTCTCTTTACATATGATGACAAATCATCATGGATGTAGGGTTGTGGGTAAGTTTCTTTTTCTATGTCTGTAGAAACACATTACTATCCAAACATTCTGTTAATTTTAACATTTTAAACTTTATTTTAATACTCTAAATGTTTTGTTCCCTCTAAGTGTCGTTGAATTCAAAGATGAAGAATTTGTTAAGAAAGCATTAGAAACTATGAACAAATATGATCTTAGTGGAAGACCCCTGAATATTAAAGAGGTATGGTTATTGCTGCTGTTTTTATTTTGAAATAGTGAAGATACTATAACTGCTGAGATGACAATACAGTGTTTAGAGCATCTTAGTTGTGTAATTTCCAGTTTAATTTTTTTATGACACTTTCTAAATGGGCTAAAATGCCTGTTGGCTTGCAGAAGGTCTTGATACTATGCCAGCTGAACTCAGAAAGTGTGTCCTAACATCAAAATAATCTAATACTGTTTTTCTTTAAAAAAACTTTAACTTCATATTCTTACCTTAGTGTCATCAGGTCTTTTCCAACCTAAATGATTCTATGTTTACATTGCTTACCTGCTTCAAAATATGAGGCAGAATGAGCTGAGTATCAGACCACTACATATGTGCAAAAATGGGGCTGGAAGTAGAGAACTTGTGCTGACTGGAAAGTGAAATTAATGTCAACATTTCTGTTGTAGTTTTGTAGTATATGACAGTGTCTGATGCAGTTCTTTTTGTCCTGTTACAACTTTAATAATGGTATTAATAAATAAGTAAAAAAATTAATTAAATTAATTCAGTTCTTGGAAGAAGGTGCTAGACTGACAGTCCTTTAGATTGAAATCTTTTCTACTTGTCCATAGGCTAGGTACAGCATGTGAAGTGGCAGTGCACGCTTCCTCAACAAGTGCTTTGCCAATATGCCTCAACCCTCATCTGAAAGGACCCACCTCTAGAGGTGAGGGAATTAGGTCTCCATGCTAATTCAGTTCTTGATCCCTCTGACATGGACAAGGATATTAGTTGATAATTTTGATGGGTTTATGTAGAATTTCAAATAGTACCTTTTTGTTTGTTGCCAGTCCTCTTGATGATTAAGTTGGCTTTATTTTTGCCCGTGTTTCAGGACCCTGAAGGTGAACATGCTCGTAGGGCATTGCAGCGTGTAGGAGGACAGTTTCCAGGAGGACATGGACCTGATGTGGCACCTGGAATAATGAATTTACCACCTTCTATTCTCAATAATCCAAACATTCCTCCTGAGGTTATCAGTAACTTGCAGGCAGGCAGGCTTGGGTCCACTATTTTTGTTGCTAATGTAAGTTTAAAACTGTATTTTGTAACTGTAATATTTGATCTTTGTAAAACATCTTGTATTACTGCATAATTCAGTTTTTATATAAAGAGGAAATAGGAAATGTTAGTTCACAGTATATTCAACTAAAAATGCTGGCTATGTATTCAGATTTTGGACATGAAGGATATGTTAAACTCTTGAAGCTGACAGGCACTTTTAATTATTGCACAGTCATCTGGTGATTCAAAAAAATAATACATCTTTTCGCTATCTATTTCCAATTGCATTTCTTTTTTTAATTAAATATACACTTCAGTTTATCTTGCTAGTTACATTAGACTAAATTAAACTGTTAACATTTGTTGGAAGTACTTCATAAGTTCTGTATTTGCACAAAAGACTACTATGTCTGCAAGGGCACTTGTGGGAATACAGCTGCTCTTAACAAGAACCCATCCATTTCTCAATGTTAATATGTTAATTAAAGTAAAATATATATATAAGCAGTATAAATTGTTGGTTTTAGTTGACATTTTTGTACTTGGTTGCAGTGTGTGTATATTAAAAAATCCTGGCTATTTACATATATCAAGCATTTTGTGAAGCTGAAGAGTTACAACAATCTAGAAAATCTCTTCCAAATGTAATGGCAGAACAGAAATGTGCACTGAAATCACTAATGTATTTCTGTGTGTAAGCTTGACTTTAAAGTTGGCTGGAAGAAACTGAAGGAGGTATTCAGCATTGCTGGAACCGTAAAGCGTGCAGACATCAAAGAAGATAAAGATGGCAAGAGTCGAGGAATGGGAACAGTTACCTTTGAACAAGCAATTGAAGCTGTTCAAGCAATATGTATCCTTGGTTTTGAAAAATAATTGATCAAATATAGTTCAGCCTTGAATGGCCTCTGATTGATAGTGTAGTTTTGCAAGTGGAGCTTATTTGTCTTGTAGCTAGTATGTAGGGACTAGAGTGTAATACTGTGCAGATTACATTTTTAATAGTGACTGAGTTTACTGCTAGAGTCTAAAAAGGTGTTCCTGATAACGTTGAACAAGCTTAAAATATGTGGGAATGTGACGTGTGAAACTAACTTTTATATACCTAACAGCTTGTATAGTTTCTTTTGGCCTTTGAATTGGCATTCTGAAGATTAGTAAGGAAAGATAAGACTCCTAAAAATGATACAGAAATAAAATAAGTTATTACAGTGATTCTTCTGAAATAAATTGTCTTCTGTAGTTGGATTCCTTGACTTGCATTTCTTCAGCTATGTTCAATGGACAATTCCTGTTTGATAGGCCCATGCATGTAAAAATGGTAAGTTGCTTACATTCCTTTCTACCTTAAATGTCTCTGCCAAAACATTGAAAGGATCATAGCATAACATCCTTGTTTTTTATCAGGATGACAAATCAATTCCTCATGAAGATTTCCGCGTTGCAGACAGCAAAACCTCACAATTACCTCGTGAGTGCACACTCTGTTTTCTACTCCTTGCACTTAATATATGTTGATATAGAGTCTTGGAACAGCTTAGTAGTACTTTTGCTTACTGTAGTCTCTTCATGATAACAGGAGAAAATCTTCCTCCTGGTGATACTTCTTTTTGTTTTCAAGGTGGTCTTGGTGGCATTGGTATGGGACTTGGACCAGGTGGACAGCCCATCAGTGCAACACAATTGAGCATGGGTGGTGGAATGGGGAGCATGGGTCCAGGAGGTAAATCTCTGTTCTTCATTTGTAAGTTTTACAGAGCTTTAGGTTTAAAATTGTCATTTCTGTGTTTGGAAGATTGACATACTCTTGACAAAGCAAGCCTTGTGTAATGTGCTTTTGAGATGTTAACTGTCTTTGTGTTTCCTAAATCCCTTAGGATCTTACCTGTCTTCTAAATGGTGTTTGTCTTTTTGGTTTAAAGGTATGGGAATAGACGGTCCAGGATTTGGCGGAATGAATAGAATGGGAGGCGGTACGTGCAGTGAAGTTCTTTGCATTAAGTATTTTTTTTAATATTATATAGAAAACACTCTTCCTTATTTTACAGGACTTCCTGGATTTCGTGGAATGGAAGGAATGCCTAATATAGGAGGATTTGGAGTCAGCCGAATGGGAGGTAGGTAAACACTGTTCCCGTACACTTAGTAAGTTTGCTAATGCTTATTTATTAAAAGCTCTTACTTTAGGGATGGGTAATGTAGATGGGTTCAAAGGAAATACAGTCAGTGGCATGAATGAAGGCACAGGAACTGGTGTGGGAGTTAAGTATTTAATAGGTGTGTCTGATGTGTGCGTTAAACCTACTTCTATTTAAACAAGCATCTGTGAAACAAGTGTTGTATGAACATCAACCTAAATGTATATAACAGAATATTTCTGGTTTTTTGCTTTGTTCTCTGCAGAAATTTTCCGTGGTGGAATGGGAGGAAACATGGACAGAGATTTTGGTCGGGGTGACATGGCATTGAACCGTGGTTTTGGAGATTCTTTTGGAAGGATGGGTATGGTAACTGTTAAATGTCCTGTGGCAAATTGCAACATAGTATTGGAAGACTTACACTAAAAGAAGAGGAGACCTGGTTTCATTTGGTCATCTTCCTTTGTCCCCTCTCCCCCGGTCATTACTATAAGGATGTATTCTGAGCATTTATTATAGCCAGTGCTTAGGACCAAGGTTAAAGTGTGGGTGTTTTTTCCCATCTGTAACATATAAACAAAATAGCAGTTTGAGGAAAGCTTTTAGCTTAATACTGTTAACTTTGTAAGGTACTAAGTCTTTTTGGTATTAAAGTATATGCTTCTGGTAATCCTGAACAAGCTGCCCAGGAGCCTGCTTTTGCAAATGCATGCTGGAAAACTGTTTTTACTGCAAATAAGGTAGTGTTGGATAGGAACGGTGAATTTTGGTGCCCTGTGTTTTCTTCCTGCATTCTGAGCTCAGGCAGCTCAAAGGGATTTATTGGCCTTTTCTGTAACTGAGCCAGCTTTGTTTTATTTATAGATGATGTCTTGTTGACAAAGTTCATTTTGTTGCTTTTGGGTTCCCTCAAATGAAATAATCCTCTGTCTTAAGAGGCCTGGAGGTGCTTAGCAGTAGAGCCTTCTTGCACTTTGTTACCATACTGTTACTGGGATGAATGCATTACAGGAGACAGGTTTTCTTCCTCCTCCTCCCTGTTTTTCTCTCTTTCCCCCTCCCTTAATTCCTCACTGTGAAAGAGAAGAGCTGCTAAGAGCATAAGGTTCATCTGGTCTAAAAGTTGAATTTTTTTTCTTTTCCTTTTTTTTTTTTTTTCCCCCTTAAATTTGGGCAAGTCATAACAAAGGATAACTCTTGTGCTTCTCTTCGAGCACTGGTAGTTGTGTAGAAGTGATAAGAATGCAATAAGGTTGTCAGTTGAGTGAGTTAGTCTTAATGTCTTGGAATTAACATCTTAGAAATCAAGTGTATGCTTTCACTATGTCTACTTGCAACATAGGCTAAACATCTGTTTCTTGAGTGAAAATCCAAAGCCACTTCAGTTATAAATGTTCATGCAACCAATAGACTTCCAAGTCTTCTGGTAACACACATTGGTTTTGAAATACATGATCATGGCCACTGTGAGAAACTGATGTGGGAATCATTCAGTAGATCCAGCAAGCTTCAGCTTATAACCTGTTAGCAATCTTACAATTTTAATACTGTTCTGAGAACCAAGATAAGGGTTTCCCAACTTATCCTTAAATAATGGAAGGAAATTGTAGGGATTTACAAATATAATAGTTAACAGATGTTGTGTTTAATCAGGGAAGACCGTGGTGTACTCCTATTACAATATTTAGGTTAATGGTATCTTAAAAGGAAATGCTGTGACTACATTTGGCTTTAGTACTCTGCCAGTTTCAAGGAGGGTAACTTAAGACAGTCTTTGAATGGGCTATGGCATCAATTAGTGAAAATGAGGATGTTTGATTTGCAGCAGAACTGTTGGAGTTGCCATTTAAATTGCCAAAATTTTGCAGTATCCAAAAAATCAAAGGTTGTGTCATAGAGCATCTCCGAGCATATAATTTTTTGTTGGTGAAAAGCCAGTGGGGGAAAAAGTACAGGTAAAGGATGTCTCTAAGGTCAGAAATAGCTGGAATCTTACTTATTAGGATTATTTGAGCCTTCAGGTTGTTTTTTTGGTCTTGTTTTGGGTGGTTTGGGGATTTTTTCTGTTTGTTTTGTTGTTTTGTTTTTTTTTTTTTTCCTTTTTTGAAGTTCATGTTAGATTGTTGGGGAGACTTTTTTTTCCCCCCCTTTTAGAAGAGAGTGGATATAACTGGGATGCACTCACAAACAAGTATGGTTTTCTAGCTCTGGGAAAGTGTGTTGGTTTGTTTTTTTTTTCCCTACAATCCTTTTTAAGGGTAAAAAGCCAGTCATGTTGACAGCAATCTCAAAATTTGACTTGGTGTTTCACTGCAAGACCCTCTCTGGCCTAATGAATAAGTATTAAGATCTTCCTCGTATACAAACTGTTGGCTGAAGTACTGGGAGTAATCCAGCTGGTATTGAAAATCAGTAGTTTTTTTTAAACAGGCTAGTCCATATGTTTTGAGGTCTTGGTATGGCTATGACAGCCTGTTGTCTGAGAGGAGACAAATATTTCCCACAAGAGACTGGCAGGGAACAATTGTTGCTATTTTCAACAGTGTGGAGAAAACAGATCTAATGGAAGACTCAGCAGTGACCTTTTTTTAGATATTAAAACAGTGGTGTCTAGCCTAAAGACGACAGTTATTGATCTATTTTGCCATAAGTAAAAACTGAGCTGTTTCTTTTAGATATGAAAATCAAGCAAGAAAAATGCAGCTGACAGTTCTACTCTGTTCTGCAGTGACAGGAATGTAGTTCTTTTGAGCTTCTACAATTCTAGAAGCTCCTTTGGGATTACTTTCCTGAATATTAGCACTTCACTGAAAAGAATTCTTTTTACTGCACTCCAGAATCAGTCTCTGATACCATTCTGGAGATTCCATGGTTCTGGCAAATAGCTTTTATTAAGTATCGATTCCCTTTCTTTCTCACTTTTTCCCACTAAATTCCATCAATTCACTCTTCATATGCAGTAATGAAAGACATTGGGAGAGCTGCTCCTAGCTTTTACATTGGTTTCTTAAAAATGGGAAAAACTAGGGCAAATAAGATGAACCCTTCAGTTTTGAGGCTGTTCTTCCCAATGTGAGAAATGGCTCATTTAGTTTTAAGATGTTTGTGCTGCTGGTAGACTGTCAGAGGGGAGAAGAGCTAGAAAGAAATCAGAGCAGCTTAAATCCCATAATAAAGAAGGAGGAACTAATGTTACTTACTGGATGTTTCCTATTTAGTTTGAATAATAAAGGCACATGTTAAAGTATTCTGTAGAAAAGAATTGCCAGGTAACAATGAGATCAGTGCACTTCATCAGTGTGTGCTTTGCTGCTGTTGTCACTAACTGGTGTTTTCAGTGTATGTCACTTTTTTTTTTTCTGTTTAGGTGGTGCAATGATTGGTGTTTTTGCAGGAGGAATGGGAGCGCCTAGCATGGGCCCAGTAAGATCTGGAATGAGTAGGTTAACTTGTTTCAATAGAATGTAAATGCATAGGCAATGTAACCATACGGTGTACATGTAATTGTATCGGATGATTTTGTCCTAGTGTAGTGTCTTGCCAGTGTTGGAAGAAGTAGAAATCTTGTTGTATGTGACTGCGAGTCTAATAGTTTTTGAAGCTGTTTTGTTGAGATAAAAGTTCAGAGGAAAACTTGCTAATATGGTCTTTCCCTTAATCTTAGTTTTGAAACGGTTTTAACTCCTGGTTTGGAGGAAGAAGTGATTCAACTAAACTTGTGTTCCAGAAAAAAGAGAAATAGGCACAGTTATTTGTGTGAACCTAATGAAGTTGAACTTCAGTAACCTCTCATCATTGAAATAAAAAATCAGCCTTGAATTTCAGATTATCACTCAGTTTAATTTTGTGCAAAGCTCCAATACTGAGTTTGTATTACAGCAAAAGTCTGAGTTCCTCAGGCTAGAGCAGATGAGAAACTAAAATCTTGCTATTGGCAATCTTGAGAGGCATAAGGCTTAAAGAGAAGGTCCCTCATGAATGATCTCGGTAGTTTTGCTTTACATTAATTTTTTAATTATGAATCCAGAAAGATTATAATAGGATATTTGAATGTCATTGATCTTAGTTCTTTATATAATATACATTAATATATTTCATTGCATGTGTCGTAGGAAAGTCCATGCTCTTTACAGTACTTGCAGTAACATTTGTTCTCTGCAAAATATGCTTTCTTCAGAAGATTGTGTCATTAAGTGTGGCTGCATTAAGTAAAGCTGAATGTGAATGCAGGAAGCAAAATAAACAATAGTATATACGGTCAAATTATCTGTATCTCAACATTGCTGCAGTTATTTACTTGATCTCTTTTTGGTACAGAGTATCAGATTTTTATTAATTAAACTGTACAGCCTTTAAATCTTAATTCTTTACTTGTGTTCAACATTTTACTACATTAGATGGTGTGACTAAGCTTGATGCAGTTTGTTTTTTACTTTTAGAACTGACACTATGTATCTTCTAATACTTTGGCTTAAAATATTAGCCATGCTACTAGATAAATCACTGTGCATGTATGAAGTTATGTTTTGTATTACAGCAGTTTCATTAAAGCTATTTTTCTCCAGACACAAAAGAATTTTTTATTTTATTTTTCTTGTGCATCTATTACGAAAAAGAGATTTTTATTTTATCCTACTTTTCTTTTTCTGTGTAGGTGGTGGAATGGGTGGTATGAACAGTATGGCTGGAGGAATGGGAATGGGGATGGATCGGATGAGTTCTGGTTTTGATCGAATGGGACCAGCTATGGGTGGAGGCCTGGACAGGAACATCGATATCGATCGAGGATTTGTGCCTGGCCCAATGGGAAGTGGCATGAGAGAGAGATTAGGCTCTAAAGGCAACCAGATATTTGTGAGAAATGTAAGCATTTGAATACATAGAAACCATGAGCTTACTTTGTGTGCATGTTTGATGACATGCTCTTTTTCTCTCTGTACTATTTTGTTATTAATAATGCTTTTATATTCTAGCTTCCTTTTGACTTGACCTGGCAGAAGCTAAAGGAGAAATTCAGTCAATGTGGTATGTATATGAATCTTATCCCTGCTCAGCTCCATCGACTTCATGTTTTAAATGGTGTTCATTAGATAAGGAGAGGAAGACAAGGTTGTTGCTTAATCCTTAAGAAGAGTCTGGCTAGCCTAATCTTTCTTATTTACCCCACCTTTCCTGAGTTATATAAATAATTTTTAGGCATGACATAACACATGAGACCAAGGTACAGTATGGGTTATGTTGGCTCTGAGTGCTTATCTGCTATAAAACTTTAACCCATTCCATTAATAAAATTACTTTTTGAGCTTTTTCTTTTTTGAAGCAGGTATTGTGTATCCTCTGACCAACACAGAGTATATAATGTAGCATTTATTTTGAGGAAAATGCATGCAGGGGCCTGGGCCTGTCCAGGTTATGCATTACTTCCAGAAATGGTGCTGCATCAAATCAGAGTTAGTAATTTTGCCAAAGTGGCGATTTGGTTTTTTTGCAAATAGATGATCCTGATAGCATATTTGCAGGCTGTAACGCTTCCACTTAATGTTAAGAAATAAAGGCCCTTTTTATGTAAGATAAAGGATTGCTACAAATATCCAATAATTCTTTTTATCTAATTCAGAAAAGTTGTCTTCTCACAGAAGTGAATGAAAAATGAAGCTTGGGTGTAGAAATATTGTTTTGTTTTGAAAATGCACTTTCAGAACAGAAGGCTCTAACTGAATTACAGGATAGCTTTTCTTATTTTGGAGAGACAGAAAAGACAAATAATTTAAAACATACTACTGATACCTAAGACAGTCTTCATACAGCTATTAGCGGATTTGACATAAATTAGAACTCGCAGTACACCAGTGAAAGATTTTTAGGTGTTCAGATTTTTTTTGCAGCTGGAGGATATAGCAAAACAGGTTCTCTCTCTTTTCTTTTTTTTTTTTTTTTTTTTTTAAAGTCTTAACTGCCTGGGCAACTTTCAGATAGTTGAGAATTTTTCCTTGGCAACTAACAGATGTAGTGATTATTTTGAATTGTTTTTAAGAATTATAAGCACAAATATTAGCAACAGACTGTATTCATGCCCATATTGTAAGGAAATATAAAGACCATGTCTCCATGTGTTCAATTTCTTTCAATGAAAGTCCAGTCTCCTATTATATGGTATTTCAAAATAAAAATCTGTGTATTTTAGGGAAAAGTTTCTTGTTCCTAGTGGCATTTGGGGGCTCAGGAGTGGTGTGCTACAACATACCATAAGCAAAAACTCATTAGCTCCAGGCACTGAACATTCTCTGAGGTACCAAGATACTTAAATAAAAATGTTGCCTCATCAGTTGAGAACCTCAAGAAAACACTGCAGGAATTGAATAGTGCATGCTACTTTTCCACCACTCCTAACCTGGTAACTTTACTGTTTTAAATGCTCTAAGTTTGCTCTGCAGCTTATTTACAAAATCGCTTGGTTGTGATTGCTTGATATGTTGCTGTGATGAACATGGTGGACTAGATTGAACTATAATACAGTTAACACCTGTCAGTGGTCACACTTCTGGCAGCATTGGTAAACAAAAGACAAAACTTTCCCTTAGCCTTATAGGGCATTTTGTTTCAAACCTGAGGTCAAATACAGGCACACTTCATTTTACGCTAGTGTAAAGGAAAGATCTGAAATAGTGGATCTTAATTTGGATTCTTCACTGCTGTTTTGCCCTGTCACCTTTCCTGAATGAGTGAATATACCATCAGTCTGAAAGTGCTAATATCATATGTCCCCCTAGATCATATTTAAAAATGCTTTTTTATCACTTCTGATGAGTTCTTTAAGTTGTTAGTGCACTGAAGACTTGAAATAACTGCTGTTTAACTTATTTATTCAGGTCATGTAATGTTTGCAGAAATAAAAATGGAGAATGGAAAATCAAAGGGCTGTGGAACAGTCAGATTTGACTCACCAGAATCTGCTGAAAAGGCCTGTAGGATAATGAACGGCATAAAAATCAGTGGCAGAGAAATTGATGTACGCTTGGATCGCAATGCATAATTTAAAACTGTGTGTTCAGGAACATTCCTATGTCTGTTTAGCTTCTCTATCCTAGTAAGTCATTTTTAGTAACATTGTATGCTTACAAAAGCTGTAAAAAGGAACTTTTAAATCCCACCAGCCTTTAACAGTATAGTGTTTAATATACTGTGATACTTGTTAACTGAATCTTACTATGTTTGGTTTTTAAAGACAATTTGCCTGATTTTTGTTGTTTTTTTAGAGGCACTGAGCACCTGCAGGTCCCTGTAGACCATAGAAGCTTTGGATGCTCAGCGCCTTTGGAAAATTAGGCCAAGTGTCTCTAGTCATTCAGTTTAAATGAATGGTTATACTGTTTTTAATAAAATAAGCCATTTTCTCTGTTAATCTCAAGATTGCATAGTGGGATTTGTTTAGTGTTTTCTGATTTTCTCCCCCACCCCAGCGTGTATCAAAATTGTAATGTAAAAATTAGATGTCTTTTTTTCAGAATTTTGGTTTTATATGTGCGTTGTAGTCATACTGTAAATCTTGACTCTAAAAGGAAGGGCTCCAATTAGGCTGTGATGTTTTCGTTCTACTTAATATTACTTTAATGACATGACTTAGTTGTGTAAATAAGATTAGAGCCCAATGGGAGTTTTGAGTTTGTTTTTCTTTTTTTTTATTTTGACTAAATGAAGAAACTGATCTTTCTCTCCTGCTTTTATTTTCATCAGTATAATCACTGATTAAAACTAGTTACCACAGACCCTTGTAGGATTGTTCCCTATGATGCCAAGTTCATATAAAATTGATACTATAGTAAATACTAAGTACAGTACAAGACAGATTGCTCCCAATTTTTTATCTATTTTCCAGCCATTCAGGTGAACTGCCAGAAAAATAAAAACAACAGAACAGATAAGAGAAATGGCTGTGTATGTCAAACCACTGCTGTTCACTTCTATGGGTCCTGATGTATTTATGAAGGCAGTTTTTATAAACCAGGGTATTCCCAAACAGAGCATGTCAAATACATTGGATCCTAAAATGTTAGACATAGCCATATCTCCATTTCCTGTAAAAGAAGAAATACAAATAAGTCTGCTTAATTGTATTGTATGAAATTGCCAAACTGTTTTGGAGGAACAGACTGTCAGCCCTCAATTTCTCACAGAGCACCCTTTTCAGACTTTTCATTGAAGGAACTATAGTCATGATTCTACAGACCATGGTTTTGGGTACCACAAGCATAAAAAAAAAATTCTTCCTAAATCACCAGCATCTGCACAGTTGCACTTAAAATAAGCTAGACAGGCTACTATAAAATCCAGTCATGTTTAAAATACCAAGACCTACAGTTGTGTTTTGCAGTAAAATGTAACACTTGATCAACAACAAATCAAACCAATCTAGAATACTTCTCTGAGATACTCTGAGAGGTTTTTAAATGTCTGAGCCACAGCTTCTTCAGGTAAGCTATTTATTTATTTTATTAGTAAACTTAAGCTCTAGAATCTGGAGCAAAAACTTTGAAGTTACTCCTTGAATTTCTGGAAATGTTGACTAGAATTCTTTTTTTCATAGTACCTTTTAAATACATCCATTGGAATGAGCCTGAATACTAAAATCTTTACCTTTTCGAGCCACCAGCACACTTGCAACTGTATCTGGTACACTTGTTCCTGCTGCTAGTAATGTGAGACCCATTACTGACTCTGGAATTCCCAGTGTTTCACCTGCAATTGATAACGGTAGAAAATGCAAGCATGTTTTTAGTTTAAGTTTCATCCAAAGAAATTGCTTTGGACTTTGCTGGAGAAAGGATTGGTAATCATACAGTAATTTCAAAAGGAATCTGTCAGCTAACTTGACTAAATATGAAGTGATTGAACCATGAAGTAGTTAAAAACAAGAACAACAACAAAGAAATATCATCCTGTCCTTGTTCTTCAATCAAATAAAAAAGGAATTGTAGTATAGTAACCATCTTAACAAGTTTCTCAAAGGCCCGAGTGGAATGTCTCCAGTGGTCAAGACAATACCAATTATTAATTTTTTCTTTCAGATACAGTAGAAGTTTAAATATCTAACAATTTGCTCCTTTTTTTTTTCTGAACGTCTAGAAAATGTAATAGTCTTCTATGTTGTTGGGCATCTCATTGTTAGTGCTCAAAAGTCTCATGAAGCAATAACTCTTACAATCACCCACTCTTTAAAGGGGAGGAAAAAAAGCACATGAATTTTCTTGGGGAGGAGGGTCATTAAGATCATTATTACAATACTATCTCAACTAAATGGCTTTAATATTTCACTCCAATTAGAAAGTTCTTGTGTTGGATTCAGAAGAATCAAAATGCAGAATTTTTATATGAGTTCTAAATGCAAGTAATCCTTTAGAAGTGTGAGTTTCTTTAGGTAAATACTGGTTTAAATTAAGAAAAGCTTTAAATTGTTACTAAAGCAGCAGGTTATTTTTCCCCACTTTTTTTTTTTTAGCCCCACATATCCTGTGAGCATATTAATTTCTCACTTAGAATACAGGGATTCAGGTCTTCAAAACGGTTTTAGCAGTTGTACTATTCACAAGCATCAATGTACTGAAGTATTCAATACCTCTAAGTAATTTGTTTTTCTTAAACTTTTTTGTTCACTAAAAAGTATCTTTTTTTTATTGAAATCTGAATTCTTATTTGCAATATTTGGACACTAATAAGAACAGTTTTCTTAAAATAAGAGGCAGTACTCTGTAAGCTAGGTCAGCAGTGCTTGCCTAGTACATACCAGCTTAGTCTAGATCAGCCAGTACATTTATATTTGAAGTTATTTGTTGGTTCAGAGGGGCTAACATGATCCTGTTGCAGAATTAGTACTGGTATTTATTCTTCCATCACTCCTAATATGAGAGATGTGTAGGACGAGGGACCAACAAGATCAGCTTTTATAAACCATCCAGGCTGGAAAATAATGGTTCATGCCAAGCAAACTGAGGTGAAATACAAATGAACCATCCTTATGTATCCAACAGTAATTTCTAGCCCTCTGAAGGTTATAAGATAGAATACAAACTCAGGTGAATCTAATTTTTCTCTTTTTATTAGATAGATTTATCTTCTATTTAATATGTAGGGTTTTTTCTGGCAACTGACCATAATGAGAGAATGGTCTTATTTTTCTAGCTTTTAGTTAATTTTGTGTATCAGTAGCAATATCTTGCTATAAGTAGTCAAATTTTCTTTGCTAGCAACAAAAAGGTGTACTAAGTTAGGTTTGTTCTTGGCCGTCAAAATTTAGACCCCAGCTATGATACCTTTGTGACATTCTGATAGGCTGTTTATGCAACAATAGAATCTGAGTCATCCTTCATGAAAGAACCTGGACTTGAATGTAATGTGTGTGTAATTTTTAGTGGTTTAATATGTAAATAGAACATATTTGACCTAGAAGTAGTGGGCTAAAGACCCCAATACTCTGTGATGACTCTTCAAAGTGGACTAACACTAATACACTATTTGAATCTCTCTTGCTTTCATATGAATTAGTGCTTTGTCTTGTAGAACAGCAATAACTTTCATTTGAATCCTGTTTCAAAGGCTTCTAACGTTCAGACAGTAAACTTTTGGTCTTTAGATACAAGTGGAAAATTGTTTGACCAAGGAGTGAACCTGGTGGGTGTTATATCCAGTGATCTACTAGTAATTTCTCAAAGGTTTACCAAATGTGTAGGTCTGTTTCTGCACCTAACAAGGAGTTATTCATTGAACTTAAGTTGAAAACAAGTTTAGGATGCTGAACTAGCAGAATACTTGAGTAGGATTAGTGAGCTATAATGTGGAAATGGCAAGCTTTGTAACATTTCTTTCTTGTTTAGAGATTTGTTTTCTGCTTGTTCTTAAAATTAAAAACTGGATTGTTCTCAAGCTGACTGGAGAAACGGTGAAGTGAGGAGACCTTTAATACCTTAAGATACTTTTAAGAGAATATTTTTACATGCAAGTTCATACCCCTTCTCTTACTTAAATGCAGTTAATTTACTGCTTCACTTTATGATGCAGATTTGTAAGAGGTATGCATACACACCCCCCAAGAATATTTAATAAACACGTGATGCTATAGTTGAAATAAAATAGTACAAAAATTTGGGAGTTTTTTTTGACAGTTAATTTAATGCCAAATCCGTTACTATTTTGTGTTCAAGAAAAATACAGGTGTAGAAATAACGGATCTTTTGCAGAATGCTGAACCTTTAATTCCAGTCTTGGTGGATTCCATGTTTATCAGGCTTCAGCTTGACAAGTTTATTGCTGTGTATCTAATTGTTTCACTTGATGAAGCAGTTTAATGAAACTGTCTCTTTTTAAATATAGGCTGGTTTTTGTAGGTATGTAAACAAATTCTTCATCTGATGGCAAGCAGTCTGAAGCAGCTAAACTCTAAAGTGGTTTTCATTAGATGGAAGAAGGTGGCAAACTAAGTATTCAAACATAAGTTGGTTTTGTTTGTTGTTTTTTTTACAGCAAAGTACGTGTTGCTAAACTGACTGTTAGTTGTGGAAAGGAAAACTCTTCACAGGGAGAAAACTCTTTTTTCAGTGATTCTCGATTGGTTGATTCTGTATAGCAGCAGCACTTTAGGTACCTACCTGCTATTGTTATCATCCATACAAGAACATAAGTTATTGCCGAAATCCATGCTGCTGAAATTAAAAATGTCACCATGAACCAGTTCCTCCAAAACTGTCTTCTGCAATCCGGTATAGTCAAATAGAGTAGTGTAATAATAGGAAGGGATAACACCCACAAAATTCTCTTTATATCTGCTTCAGGCATGGTGAAGACACTTGGATGATCTGTGGAAGAAAACGTAACTATTTTAAATTGTAGCTTTTAAGTTTGAATTGGTAGCATACAGTCATTACTGGCCTCTACTTGTGAGAATACTGAAAAAAGTTTCAGAACTTCCTCAAGGTCTCAGTGTAGTCTTACCCAGTACCTACATCACACTGGACAAAACTCTGAAACCAAATGTTCTTTATTACCATGTCACTAGGAGAGAACCTAAGGTGGATGAAAAATGAACTTTTCTATAAAGGTTTACACAAAATGTTTACCAAGAGTAAGTACCAACTGCTGTTTTTTGCCTAAGTAAAGAGGAAATTGATGATCTGTGGCCACATCATAGCTATTTCTTCTGATATCATGCATATTTTGGGCTGTGAACCTGCCACTGTCGTAAGAAAACAGTATATATTAGTACAGTACCAGTGTGTCTTTCAGCTGATACTGCATTTTACAAGCAGTGTTGATGGGAAGTTTCAAATGTGAACAGCAAAGACTGATGGAAGTCTGCTGTTCTAATATGACACAAATGAGCAACTTGCCTAGCATTCCTCTAGCAACTAACTTCATATAAATACCACCACTCTGATTTTGCTGAATGTTATATTCCAGGGAAGAATAATGATTTACTTAAATACTATGCTGGATTTCTTTTGTGAACAAAATCTTAATAATATCTCAGAATCTACTCTTTATTAGAACTGATGCAGACAGGCATGCAGAGTGCTAGAGACAACTGTAATAATACTTGTACCTTCAGAGATCTCATCAAGCCCATGCAAGCTTGTTGAAAGTTGAGTGTAGTCCAGCTCATCTTGAAAAATTCCACTATCTGTTCTTGACTGTTGACGAATTAGAGGTCCGCTCTCTTCCCTCCATCCAACCAGTGGCTGCTGCTCAGCATTCTCTTCCATAGCTTTTGTGAAACACGTACAGCAGGGACTGAACTTTTTCATGAGGTATTGGTTGATTTTAATGTCAAAACATAGTACCAGAATATAACACCCGTATATCAATAATAAGGATGCACTTTCATACCTAGAATGACAAATAGATTTTATATAACATGTAATATAAAAACCCCCAACTCTTTAACTCATTAAAATGGCTGGGGTAAAGAGAGCAAGAGAGAGAAGATTTGCATGAATAGCAAAAGGAAAACACACAAAAGCACCTATTTGCAGTTGTATGGCCAGTGTCATGGAAGTTTGAGTGTCCCCGTGTCTTTCAGCAGTTTGATTAATTCCCCTCCCCTGCAGAATCTTGTTTGTGTATTGTATAGCTGCATGTTTTCCAGGGGATCTTACTCATTGAACATCTTGCTGATGTTTGCAAAATTGAGTCTTCATGTGATGGTTAAAGAGAGGGATAGTGTGTGCTGTTTTGAGTTAGAAACTTCAGAGACTTAGTGGTGGACCTGACAGACTTGTTGAGGCAACAGGAGTTTCAGCCTTGACAGAACAGAGTTAAGTATCAGAAGCTCATGAGCTGCTTCTGGCAGACAAATGTTTTATCAGTGATGCTATCAAAGGAAAGTCTCAGGAGGGGGAAACTATATGAAGACTAATTGCTATGCCAAAACAGTTATAGAAATTGTGAAGTCTGTACAGACAAACCTATGCAGATCAAACTTTATAAATATGCAGGGTTTGAATGTTTAGGTAATAATCTTTGCAAGCATTGTGACTTTCTACGTTTTTTAAAGCCAACAGAATGTTTATTTCTGTTAGTGAATGGCAGTTCAGGCTACTTGAAGTTTGGGGTTTGGGTTTGTTTTTCAAAACACTGTCTCACTAATCTCCAGTCAACATGAATTCAACACTACTTGTGCTCTTACCAGTAAATTCTGTTGTCAGATATCATCGCAAGGACCGCCGCTACACTAATTGTATATGCCAGACAGTCTCTAAACAGCGGCCAACAGGATAGCCTTGAAACCTGCAGATCACAGATTCATTTACTTTTCTTAAACTTGTCTGTAATACTTTCACTAAGTGCTGTAAATGCTGCATCAATATGTCGTTTCTATACTATGTAAAAATTTAAGATTCTTAGGAATGACTTAAGTATGATATTTAACAAGTTAGTGTTTTTAAAAACTTTCATAGCAAGTTATCTTAAAACTGATTACATGCTGGTTTTGCTACTAAATAATAAACTTGGCAGTTGTCATAGTAAGTCTCTCTTGGCTTTTGTTGGCAAATCAGAAAGGATAACCATTTGGCTCTTAGGAGCAGAACTATCAAAGTTGACACATACCACGCTGGAAAACAGCCCACAAGCTGCAGAAATACCAAGAAGATTATAGATTGCTGATCCAAGGATGGTGCTGACGCCGATATCACCCTTTGTCACGAAGACTCCTATAAGGAAAATGACTCTCTGGTATGTTTCAGTTTGGCATGCAAGGAAAAGAATTCTAGATTCAAAACGTATGTGGCTCTTACCTAGAAAAGCAGTGACAAGCTCTGGAGCAGAACTTCCAGCAGCCATAAAAGTTGCTCCAGCAACATCCTGAGAGAGGCCAAGGCCTGAGGATAGAGCAAAAGAATTGCTTAAAAAAATAAATACTTCAGTAGTCTGTACCCTTTACTTGCATTAGTATATAATGTTAGAAGCTACTACAGTTTAATAGAATGAACTTTGCTTACTTTCATACAGTTAATGCATGTATTTGAAACTGGTACAATAATATATTGAAAACATAGCCTCATTTATTGGGCTAATTTATTTCTAACTTTATTACAGAAATTAGTTTAAATACCAGAAAATTATTGATAATACAAGAGATTTGGGCATGATCTTAAAATGTAAAATAGGCATATGTATTTGGGCTTTAACTCTGTTTCATACAGGTAATTGTGGGGAATTCCTTGGACTCTAGTGTGATCCATGTGCTACATGATCCATGTCAAGTCTGTCTATCTTCCAGGGAAATCCATGCTACTGTGTCTTCACATACCAGAAATACTAGTTAAATTCAAACCAGTGCTGCGATCTTAAAAAATTTTCACTTCGTACGGACAGTATAAGAGCCTGTGTCTTGCTTGAATGAAATGAGATTTTTGTTCTGGTAAGTTGACTGTTTCTGAAATGTAACTCACTCTGTGCATCAAGTTCTGCACACTAAGAACAGGGACGTATGGCTAACTATGGAAAAAGTCTGACAAATGCTTATTTATCATCAATAAAAAAAATATCAGCTCTACAGCAATGTTTAAGCTTACATCTTCTGTAAGTGTTCTGGTTTGGGGAACGTTTTCCAGTGCTCAGGGATGAGTTTCCCTAGGGAATTTTTTTAATTCTTGGCAATGAAACTTGGCTGAACTCTCGGCCAAGACCATCTCTTTAATTCAGTGGTCGTGTGAAGCCAGAGGAATTATTACAGGTTGATCAGATTTCATAGAACAGTTGTAACTGTGGTATTCCTTTCCCCCCTGTGTCATACTTTTAATATGTAAATGGTAGCTCACCCTGATACTTGTTCACTATGAGAGAAATACAGAAACTTGAGGAAGATACTTAATTCCCATGTTTTAGTATAGAGAGGGTTTTGGGTTTTTTTGGTTTCTTGGTTTGGTGTCATCCTCATGTCCCGCCCCCCCTGCCCCCTTTATTTCTTTTACTCGGAACCCGGGCATATTACTGCTCACCCCAAAGTTACATCATCAAGTTTAGTTAATACTGAGGAAGTTTTAAGATTTTTCTCTAGGCACAAGGAAAGTGAATTTTAAAGGAATGCCTGTGCAGAGTGTACTCGGAGTATGTTTTTTCAATGTAATATTGATCCATTGTATCAGATTAACTATTGTATTGATAAGTCCTAACTGTGCATAGAGACTCTGAAATTTCTTTAGTTTTGTCGCCAGAGCACTCTAACGTTGAAGCTTTTTTTTTAAAGAGAATGCTCTACACCAAGCTGCTTAGTTCTACAGGAAAAAGATCAGGATGTTCACTTACATTCACTGATGATCTCTAGAGAAGGTAGGAAATAATCATCGCAGACAATGGACACTGCCAGAAACATGTAAAGTATAATTATGAAATAGATAACGATTCCTCCATCCTTTCTCTCCTGCGGTGTAAAAAATCCTTCAGGAAACTCCGATGAAGAAGAAAGGACGCAACCTGTCCTGTTTCCTGAAAATTGAGTACAAAGGTGTTACGCATCCTAATACCTTCCACTTTTTCAGGCTGCAGAAGCCCTCCGGATTAGAACTATAAATGGAGGACGGCTTCCGTGGATTTCCGTCTTTCAAACAGAGCTATTTTTCGTTCGGGGACAAGGACAGCCGCAGCAGCGCGGCTGAAGCCGCGGCACCCTCGTCGAAACGCTGCGCACCTGGGCGGGGGGCGCTAAGAGGGCTCGCGGAGGCGCTGACCGCAGGTGCGGGGGCAGAGCCGACGGCGGGACGGGCCGTACCGCTGTGCCGGCAGCCCCGC